GTGTGAAGCTCAGGAGGAGGCCCGTCTCAGCAGCCTCGAGGCTCATTGGACCGCCAGGGTGCACAGGGTTCTGCGGGAGGGGGGGGCACGTTTATGTTGTCCAGGCTACATGTTGTTACCCCAGGAGCGTTCTGTGCGCGGGCGCCGAGGCGAGACCATCTTTTCGCGACGAGGCTTTGTTAATTGCAAATGTTGCTTAACCCCGAAAGACGATGCGAAACGATGGCTCCTGGAAGTCGTACCCACGCTGCTTGCCCATCATCTTGGGAGTCAGGTTGTGCATGCGCATAGGTCTAGCGATGTTGTTTGATTCTTGCCACCGTAGTAAATCATTCTGGAGGTTCCTGAAACACGTGTCCAAGACGGCCGAATCTGACCCCACAACGCCCCATACGTTCTCAAGCACCATTCGCCATAAGCACGCGGAAACGAATCTTTGCACAACCCCCAAGTGCAGACAGTGCATAGCATCTATAGCAAGCGTTCGAACTGGTGATGTCCCCAATTCGAGATCAAATAGTGGGCACCTATGTTGCACCGAATCGAGCAACGCATCATTCGCCCCGACCCTGGGGCGCCAAAAGACGATGCGAACAGGCGGGCTGCAGTGCTCCAATCGAGCAATGTCAAACAGTGTGTCCGAGGGCTCCAAGCGGTCGCCGACTTTCAAGTCAGTGCCGCCAATGCGCACACTTTTAAACACACATCTGCTTCTCATGTTTTTCTTGCTGCTTTTAGCTTTGAACCACCTCAGTGAATTACATAGGTCGGTAAGTTCCTTTCGGCTGTTCACATCGACTCGGACCTCGCATTTAGATACCGCCTCCTCGTAACTTTCGTGTCGTCGAAGTAACCAATGTGACATCACTAGGCCCTCGTCGAAAAGCTCGGAGTGTTCACTTTCACAAAACTGGCAACAATTGTGGTTTTGGCTCCAAGGTGACAGTCCCAGGGCCCGCGCGTGTTCGCACCAATCCCCCTTCACAAAAATGAGGGCAGCTGTGTACCCCAAATCAAGCTCGTCTGGCACCTGGTCGCCTGGGAACGGCTCGCCCGTGTGCATGTGCACGGGGCGCGATCCAGTGAACATAGATTTCAGCTGCCACTGGATGCACTTCAAAACTGGGAACGTCGTGCACCACGCCCTACAGCCGCAACAGCACTCATCGCTGTGGCGGATGGTACATAGCAAGAACCGTTTTGACGATATGAGGTTAATCATCCAAAACCCGCATACTGTATCTGACCTGCCCGCCGCTTGCTGGATATACGACACACCGTCGACGTAAATGCCGACTGGTACAGGGGGTACGCCTCCAGACTCCCGAGCTTTTTCAACCAACGGATGCTGCGCGTAAGCTGGCAAGTCCAGGATGCACTCTTTACGTTCAGCACGGGGGGCCCGTATAGTCTGCATAATAGTAGGGTCTTCAAGGATCTCGTCTCGCAACGCCTCGTGTCCAAGTCGAATTGGCACGTTTCGAATCGTTCTTGTTATTGAGTGGTTCACGTTCATGGGGACAGGGGTAAAATATAAGTGTTTCGGTTCAGGCATAACCGCGTCAAGATGTCTTTGATATTTGCCCGATTGAAGGCCCGCCTCCCTGGCGTACGTCTGAAACGAACCACCTGGAACCTTAGCCTTGGCACATAGATCACAGGCCACGCATAAATGCTGAGCAGTGATCCTGCACGCGCCGTAGAGCTGCAAGAGAAGCTTAAGCAAGTCCGCCCCAGCCTGGCGCTCCTCGCCAGACGAGTCCCGCCAGGAGGGCGGTGGCATGATAAGTGCGAGGGCGCAGCCCAGACGCTAGACGCTAAACAGCTGCAGTACGTTCCGCAACGTCCGATGATTGAACGGCGCGCCAATCTTCAAACACAATTACACATGTGCGACCCGACCCAGACGTTGGAGCCCCTAGGCACACAGCGTTAGTTACTATGCGATGCTATGCTATGCCATGTTATGCTGCGCTATCCTATGCTATGCTGCGATATGGTATGCTGCGCTATGGTATGCTGCGCTATGTTATGCTATGTCATACCATGCCATACCATGCCATGGTGCGGTGTGTTATGCTAAGCGTTGTTATGCGATGGTGTGATAAACTGCGATGGTGTATGCTGTGATATGCTTTGTTATGCTGCGTTATGCTATGATATGCGGGACTGTGCTATGGTATGATGTGATGCGCTATGCTATGCTACGCTATGTTATACTTGGAGGTGATCCGCTAGTCTAAATAAAGCTCACCGAAGCTACGATGAATGTAAGTTGCGATAAGATAAACCTGAGCTAAGATTAATTGAAGCGAAGCTAGAATGACATGCGCTAGGCTACGATGAGATACGCAACGGTAACTAAGGGAACGTAACGGGGGGAACCGCGGGGCGGATACTGGGGGGGGGCGCCCAGGGTGGTTTACACTGCCTGGCTCATTTAAGCGCAGAGAGCACGAAACCGTATAGGCAGAGCCTAGGTAGGGAACATGGGTTCTCGCGTTGTACTCGTCTTACTCGTCCTACATCCTCATCATCCTCCTCCTCCTCATCCTCCTCCTCATCCTCATCCTCCGATTCCTCCTCCTCATCCTCCTCCTCTTCCTCCTCCTCATCCGCCTCCTCCTTCTCCTCGTCATCCTCCTCCCGCCTCGTCATCACGTTCCTGCTCCTTCTCAGCCCCGCCCCATCGCATCCGTCGCATCCTCCGTTCGTCATCAGCATGGTCCGTTTTCCCGGCCGCACCCCTGATCACACCTGTCTCGTTGCTCATCATACGTATTTGCACGAGGGGGTCGAGGGAACGGGAGGCCAGTGCCTTGGTTGGTTCGATCATCGCACGTGGTCGGGAGTCACCGCGCACACTCGAAACTGCATACCGTCGTTCGACGGAGGTCGCCACGCCAGTGCGTGAGCGCGAGCAGACCGAACTGCAAATCAACAGACGCGAGCACATTGCGAGGGGCACTAGCCCCGCGTGCACAAGCACAGAGCTGGACTGGGCATTCACCCCCAACGTATGTTTGGGCGTTCCTGGTTGTGGCCCGTCTGACTTCCGAGGCTACCCCCTTGCTTTGTCGATGTCACCTCCCCTCTCTCGCAAGCTCTCATTGGCTTTATCTACCTGGCCCGTCCATCGCATCTGCGATCTCGGGTTATCCCCCTACCTCTGCACCGTTCCATCAGTCCGTATATCGTCTTCCCTCTCTTTCTCTCTCTCTCTCTCTCTCTCTCTCTCTCTCTCTCTTTCTCCCTCTCTCTCTCTCGTTCGTTCTATCTCTCTCTCTCTCTCTCTCTATTTCTCTATCTCGCTCTCTCTCTCTCTCTCTCTCTCTCTCTCCCGCTCTCTCTCTCTCGCTCTCTCTCTCTCTCTCTCTCTCTCTTTCTCTCTCTCTCTCTCTCTCTCTCTCTCTCTCTCTCTCTCTCTCTCTCTCTCTCTCTCTCTCTCTCTCTCTCTCCCAGCGTGTCGCTCATCTGCATTGCCGCATCCGCAGTGCACCCGCTAGTGGACGCATGCCCCCCCCCCCCCCGCTGCCCGAGGCATGCGCGCTGAGCAGTGTCTTCGGCGAGTTGCATCGGCGACGGCCGATGCATCGGCAGGACAAGGGGCCGCGGGTGGGGGCAGGAATGTCAGGATGTCAGGAGGGCAAGGGACGCGATGAATACCTGCACGGGGAGAGCAAGGCAGCAGACTCAGCAGCAATGGGAGGAACGATGAGGCGTTGAGATGGGCTGGTAGAGCGAGAATGGGCGTTAGAATATCGGCATAGCAGGAGGTGGGGGGGGAATGGGCGAAGAGGAAGAGAGCCACTTGGTGGAGTGAGCGGTGTGTGTGTGTGGGGGCAGCAGCAGCAACATCATCGCGTCGAGGCGATGCTAGACTCTTGCTTACCCGTGCCAGCTGCGCAACCTCGCAATGCGCGCAAACCCACCTACTACGACTCGGCGGATGGCCGCAGAGGCACCCACGTACCCTTGCACGCTGCAAGAGGAGAGATGTCGCCGCGCGCTTGCACAGCACACGCCACACAATGCTGCAGCTAAGTGGCAACTGGGCTGCAACAGAAAACGCACGCGATGGGCTGCAAGCCCGCAGGCTGGCTCGCTGCTGAGGGGGAGCAGGCACATGAAACTCGGCACAGCCGCGCCTCTGTGGAGAATGAGATGCTGATTGAGAGGGTAGCGAGTTATATCACATGAGGGGGACGGTGAGGAAGAATGAGATGGATGAGGCGAACGAGAAAGAGAGGTTAAACACGGCTCTTATAGGGGATTGAGAGGGTAGCGAATGCTATAAATAGGGTTGGGCATACATTGTGAGAAGGAGGAGGCTGGGCCATTAAAGGACGACCAGAGTTAGAAGAGGATGATGGGGGAACGGAACGAATACCATGCGATCCCTCGCGTGCTGCGCGAGTTGAAAGAAGTGGGGTTGTCCCCATATGCCTGCCATGAGCTACCACGTGCAGGCGCGCCGTGCGTTGACACGAAAGTCACCCTGAGCGAGTCGGAACATGAAATTATTAGCATATCTCCTATCCAAAGACGCCCAGACAATCAAAATGAGAACATTACGGCACACCGCACTGCACCGTTGCACCAATTTTAAACAAAACAACGCCCTGTCGAACTCCGAGAGAGTTCATGTCGGCCAAATCTGCCTCAAAACTGGTCCCCAGGAAATCCATCGCATTTCCACCGGTGATCCACTGTTCTCATTTTGAAATCCATCGGTACTTTCCCTGTGTTTTTTCAGGTAAAGTCGCATGTTCTCATTTCGATGTCCACCGGGTTTCCACCGGTGTTCCACCGGTGTTCCACCGGCCTCCTGAGGCCGCAGGGGGTGGTCCTGAGGGGTTGGGAGGGCGCCCGAGGTGGTCTGAACGGCTTACAGGCGCTCGCGCGCCTTGTTTCTTGAGGTTTAGACGTCGGGGATAGGATCGGGTTCCACTCTGCTCAGCTCGAATTTGTCATCAGTGCCAGGCTCGCAATCTACTCACCCCTGCGCTTCTTGTTGTTGCCCCGCTTGCTCGCAGACTGGCCAGACTGTTCATGCTTATCACTCTTGCGCTTGTTGTCCCGCTTTACTTTGTCGAAGCCCAGCAAAACCTCAGCCTCATCCTCGACGCCCGCGATGCTCTTCGAGAGGCCCATCACCAGCGCCAGGCCACGCGAGAACTCCTGCTCACCGATCTGTTTTTTCAGCTCTGCGAGGTTCTTAGTCGACAAGATCTTCGAGACCACCACGTGCTGCTGCACCTCGTTGTCGAGGCGTTCCTTGGCCCTCGTCAGCGCCTTCAGATGGGCGCTGTCATCCTCCTTCGCCCACGCCCAGTCCTCGTCCAGGCTGACGCTCATCATCATCGACTGATGCTGCGCGACCACGCCCTGGTACGAGGCGATCACCCTCTTGGCGTTCACCAGCGCGATCTGCGCCTCGCTCTTCATCCTCTTCGGGTTGGCGGCCTGCTGTTTTTTTTTAGAAGGGGCAGCAGGCATATATAGAGGAGACGAGTGGGATGAAGAATGTGAGAATGCGAAGGCTGAGGTGGCCTGAGGCTCGCCCTCGGCGCGGTTCTCACCGCCGCCCTCGCTGGTGCCACGCGCCCCGTGGCCCTCGGCGCGGCTCTGGCCTCTGCCACCCGCCGCGGACGATGCCTCCTGAGGCGCCGCTGGCTGCGCTGGCCGCGCCCTCGCCCTCGCTGGCTGCGCGGGCGCTGCCGCCGCTGGCGCCGCCGCTGCACTGTCGGCGGCGGCTGCGCCCGAGGCGCTCGCCTCTGCCGCAGCCATCTGGCGTGGCGGGCCCTCCAGCGCCTTCGGGGCTCCCCCTGCTCTGATATTCTAGGACAGTAAGATGTGGAGGTGGAGGCAGCGAACCTTCCAAACGCCAGACTATACACATGCATACGCATTGCACACACATACACAAACACACACATACACAAACACACACACACACACACACACACACACATACACACACACACACTACCTCCACATCCACATCTTACCGTCCTTGCTCCTCTGGGCAGGGGGAGCCCCGATGATGATCACACCTGGGCGTCGCTCCGAGAGGCCCACTCCTCGTGTTTCCTCCATGTCGTCGTGAACTGCTCGGTGAGCCCACGGACGACAAACAGGCTGAAGATCGACTCGCACATATCGTCGTACATGATCCAGGGGGGGCCCATGTTCATCGTCTTCCACACGTACTTGCTCGCCTGCGGAGGAGGGCGAATGAGAAACACGAGGGTGCACACAATGAGGAAATCAATTAGAATAATGAGCAGGATTATGATAGTGGAGGCGACGACGACCACAATTGAGAGGGGTCGCCATCATCCAGCCAGCTTTCCCGCCGCCGAGCTCAACGGCGATCTTGCCGATGGGCAGGTATTTAGATTTTTTCCAGAGCGATCTCACCTCCTCCGTCTGCTTGACATATGTGGTCGTGCACTTCTCGTGCCTCTCCTTCGCCCAAGCTGATCCGAAGTTCGCTTTGGCGTTCCGTCCGAGCGTCGCCTCATACTTCGCCTTCCGCTCGGGGTCCTCGAGGGCGCGCTGCCATCTGCTGGCGATGGGGTCCTTCTTCCCGTCCGTCTCCACTTTGAAGTTCTTCTTGGCGATCCGCTCCCAGAACTCATATTCCTCCTTGTCCTCCGGGTCTCGGTCGATCAAGCCGACGCCGTACTCCACCGGGTCCTGGGGCCACTCCTTGGCGCGCGTGAAATCCCACCCGCCCTTCTGGTGGAGCAGCTCTTTGAAGCACGGGGTCTCGAACGCCGCGACGAGCGCCTTCGTCAACTGAAGGGCGCGGTCGTCGTCGAGTGGGCCAGGCCTCGCCAGCTCGTCCCCTGGGTTGCATAGGTGTTTGAAAAAATCCTCATCCTTCTCCTGCTCTTCCTCACTCCTCTCCTCCTCCCCCTCTTCCTCCTCCCCCTATGCCTCCTCCTCCTCCTCATCGCCTCCCCCTCCGTTTTTTTCCTTTTCCCTCCAACCTCTCTTCAACCTCGCCCCCTCGGGACGCCGAGCTTGGGTAAGTGGCGGTGGTGCTCGGTGGGACCGCGCATCCCAGACCCGCAGAATCCTGGTGCTAAAGACTTGGGTAGTGGTCCCAATGATGTTTTAGAGAAGGCTAGCGTTTTTGCACCCTGCAGTTTTGGCGATGGTCTTCGCTGAAGCCCACCCTGGGGCCACGAAAAGAACCCGCCATCGTCCTCGAAGTCCCTCTGCAATTTCCCCGTCTTCTGGGTCAGCTTGGGCGGCGTGAGGTCCTGAAGGTGCGATCCCTGCCTCTCTGCCTCGTCTTTCCACCTCTGCTCTCTCATCCATCATTCCCCCCCGCCCTTCCCCCCCCCCCCCCCGCCGCCCTCGACCCCCTCCTCAGTCGTAGCTCGGGGTGCGCGGGGGGAGGAGGAAGACGAAGTAGAACCTGCAGCAGGAGGAGAATCGCGAGGATGTGGATGGAGGAGCGGGCGAGGCTGAATCGCGAAGCGTGAGCGACGAAGGCAGCGAAAGCGACGGATTCGGGCCGCCTCCGCGAGGAGCGACGTTCGAGGGCGAGCTCAAGCAGGCGCCCTCACCGCCGCTCTCCCTGCCCTCGACTCACTCGCCTCGACAGTCGACGCCCTCGCATCCCCCCTTCACCCGAAGTGTCCTCCGTCTTCTCCTCCGTCTTCTCCCCCGTCTTCTCCTCCGTCTTCTCCTCGGCCTTCTCCAAGTCAATCTTCCCGCCCGCTCCTGCCCACATCGAGCCCAGGGGGTTGTTGGATCCCGTGCCTGGCACCTGACCAGGGGGCAATGGGCTTGGCGATCGATCGCGCCCGCGCCTCTGCGACAACGAGTTCTGCGTTGCCTGCCTCAGTTCCTCCTCCTCGCGCTTCCTGGCTGCCTCATCCTCGGCGGCGTCCTTCTCAGACTGGTGGATCGCCTCCTTCAGGCCATTCTCGTCCGAGGAGGAGTCGTGCACGTAAGTGTAGAGCTGGGAGCTCGGCGTGAAACCCGTCGGGCACGCGTCCTGCTTGTCGTGCCTGCAGATCTTCCTGAGCTTCCGAGCAGGGGGCGTGGTGGGTGCGCCACTTGGCGCGGTGCCGCTCGGGACGGGCTCCTCGCGCGGCTCATCCTCCTCTGGCGGCTGTCGGGGCGGCGTGGGCTCGAGCATCGCGTCGAGTTCCTTCTGGGGGCTGCTAGGCTCACTGGCCACCTGGCTGGCCTGCTCCGCTGGGATGTCCTCATCTGGCTGCCGCGCTGGCTCCGCTGCAACCGACTCAACCAGCGTCTGCGTCATCACATCCGCGGGCACCGGGGGCTGGCTTGCTGGTGTGGCGGCATCCGCGGCAGCATCTGCGGCGTCTGCCATCGCGCGGTCCATGCGTTGGTCGAGCTCAGCTGAGTCAAGTGACTGACCGTGTGAACCGACGAGGACAGGGCTGCCAACTGGAGACGGCATGGTGGCACCTGCCGCGAAACTTGCGTAGATGGGAGTTGCTCGCCAGTCAGGCGGCACGATACTCCAGTTGATAGACATATCTTGAGCCAAAATACTGTTACGGACCAGCGTGCCCCTTGGGACCTCTTTGGGCTCCTCTCGGCACCCCTTGGGCCCCCTTGATGCTCAGTTATACGCTGTTGATGGTGCCATATCGAGTTTGAGGGCGAGTTGCATAGTATTCATGACCTTTCGAAACCCTCATCGCTATGCTTTTGGATTTGATTTGGGCTTGTGGCCCCCAGGAATGACCGCCCCCCTCTTTGTATTACACTTTCTTTCTGAGCCTACAGTAACTGTACGTGGTGCGGTTGTGCGTTTATTCGTTTCCATGCTCGCGTTAACAAGTGAACATTTAGAGCCATGAGGTCAACCTTGAAACGCCCGAGTCCCAGGCGCGTCGCCCGATCCGAGCCGAACGCGAACCCCCCCCCCGACGCCAATTGCTTGAACGTTTACCCGCTAGGAGGGGATCCTTGGATGCTTGACCCCCCTTCCCACATCCCCCGCTCGAAACATTGCCACGCCCCAGCTCGGGTAGGTGCCGTGGCGTCCCTGGTGTCGTTGGCGCCGCGGGCGGCGTCGACGCGGCTACCCCGATCCCCTGACAGAAGAGAGCGCGAGCATTTCGCTCGCCAGACCCCCCCGAGAAGCCTGGTGACGGAGTCAGGAGAAGGGGAAGGTTGCGAAGGCCGAGGGGAGGGACGGTCGAGGAGAATGAGAGGGGCACGTGGTGACACGGGCGAGACGTAAAAAGAGGAGAGGGAGTAGAGAGGGATAATGAACGGCGACCGAGTTAGCTGAGATGACTGCACCATGTCTGCACTTCGACGCGCAATCGGTGCCTCTTGTCGAGAGCCAGCTTGCATCACAAATAACTCTCCTGAGAGAGCCGCCAGAGCTGCCCTGAATCAAAAATGAGATGCAGGATCTGAGTTAGACGAGACCCCTGCGTATGATCATAGCAGGCGAATGCATTCAGGACGAAAAGCAGAGGTGGCAGGGCGAAGTCTCTGGCTGCCGAGCAGCATTGCCCCGTGCACTACCACGAAGTTGTGCCGCCAGAAATGTGCAGAGCTCTTCGTCGTGAGCCGTCGACGTGTTCGCAGTCGTGGTCGTCACTGGAGTGGTCCCCGCCGATATGGCAAGTCGATCGTCGTCGCCATGGGCGTCGTCGTCGTCGTCGCCACGCGTCGTCTCATCGAACGTGCCCATGCGGTCGAGCTCCGCTCGACGCCGTGCCAGGCCTGCGACCGACAGCCCGGAGAACGCGGCGACACGCTGTTCGCCTGCTGGCTTCATCCGCCCACCCTGTCTCTGACTCGTCCCTCCGCTCCTCCACGCTCCTCGCCCTTCCATCTCCTCTAAACTCCCCCCTATCCTCCTTTCGTTTCCCTCCACCCCCGTTGACGCCGAGCAAACGAGAAACTTAAAAGTCATCGAAAAGACCGACGGGGATGGCCTCGACGGCCGCGGCCTCGAGGTCGAGCTTGCTCTTCTGGCGCTTCAGCGGGCCAGCCGCCGCGCTCGCCTATGGGCGCGGCACGAGACAATCAGAACGTCCTCCATCCTCCTGCCCTCCTGCCCTTGCCCCTTTCTCATAGTTATGTTCCTTCTGCGCGTCCGTTCTCCCGTGGAGCCCCCCCTTGTTTTCCTCGCTGTTCCCCTCGCCTCATCCCTGCCTCATTGCATGCCTCACATTCCTCTTTACATTGGCCATCCTCGCTCCCTCCCCCAACCCAATATCCCCCTCCCCCTTCGCACCCCTGCCAGTTACTGTGCTGAGTCATCTTCCCCTTTCACCCCCCCCCCCCCTCTGCCCCCCTGCGGTCGCCTGAGCCCTCGACCTCTTCTGCGGCAGCGCGTCGTGCATCACCTCCTTCTCCGCAGCCTTCGGCAATTGTTAGTCCCTCTCTCTCTCTCTCTCTCTCTCTCTCTCTCTCTCTCTCTCTCTCTCTCTCTCTCTCTCTCTCTCTCTCTCTCTCTCTCTTCTAGACATATGTATGCCTCCTGTCTGTAACTGCTTGCCTGCGCGCCTACCGGTCTGCGTGCCTGTGTGTAGGTGTGCATGTCTGTTTGTCTGAATGTCTCTCTGTCCCTGTCTTTTTATCTTTCTCTCTCTCTCTCTCTCTCTCTCTCTCTCTCTCTCTCTCTCTCTCTCTCTCTCTCTCTCTTCTCTCTCTCACGTCGCTTTTCTTCACCCTCAAACGTCTTTTCCTTCTCCTCCCAGTCCTTCCCTTCCTTGTTGACCTCCCAGGGTCCACTTCCTCTCATCCGTCCGTCTCCCCCCCCCTCGTCATGCTCCCAATCCCCATCCACACCCTTCCTCATCCATCCTCCTCGTCCCTGTCCTGCTCCGCACCCTTCTCCACGTGCGCCTACCTCTCATCGTTCTTTCGTCTCTCTCTCTTCCCCTTCGTCACCCTCCTCCTCCTCCTCCTCCTCCTTCCTCCTCTCATCCCTCCCCTCCCCTCATCATCCTCCGCCCACTCCTCCTCCTCATCCTCTCCTCCTCCCCCTTCTCCTCCTCATTCGTTCCTTTCCTCCTTCTCCTCCTCCGTCCAGGGATTCCTACTTCCCCTCCTCTGACCCCCACCTCCTCATCCTCCTCATCCTCCCTCATCCTTCCTCAACACCCCCCCCCCCCCCCCCTCGTCCTCACCCTCCTCCGTCGCGCCTCAAGCGCGCCACTGGTGCTGGCGGCGGCGCCCACGTGCGCCTCGTGAACCTCAATGGCGGCTTGTCCACCGCCGCCTGGGAGTCCACCTGGTCGGAGCTGGCCTGGGAGATCACCGTGTCGGAGACGGCCTGGGAGTTCACCTTGTCGGAGACGGCCTGGGAGTTCACCTTGTCGGAGTTGGCCTGGGAGTTCACCTTGTCGGAGTTGGCCTCGGGCTTCACGTCAAGCACCATGGCATCGGTCTTCGCGACCTTCATGGCTGGCTTGGTGGCCTTGGCGTGCTTCGTGTGCTTGGTGGCCTCGGGCTGCTGCTCTGCCGTGTTGTCGTGCTGCTGCTCTGCCGCGTTGTCGTGCTGCTGCTCTGCCGCCTTGTCGGTCACGACCAACTCCGCGGGCTCCCCCTCGTGGCTGTCGGGCGCCTTGCCGTGCGTCTTGAGGAATTGTTTTTTCCGCTCCTCCAGCACCGCCGTGTCAGCCTCCTTGCTCACGAACGCCTTGAGGCAGTCCTTCATGAACTTAATTGCGAGGTCCTCGTTTGCGTACCTCTTGATCTGAATGACCTGGCGATTCTTCTTCTCATTCGGGTCGGTCCTCCAGAGCACCAGCCACTGCTCGCTGCCTTTTTTCACCCGCTGGATGAATACCCGCATGTCGCCCTGCATGGCGTCGTCGAGGATGTTCGGCGA